TTTGTCCTAAATTTTATACCCTCTTTACTTCAAAACTTCCTGATGACACGTTCCGTTTTATCGATGCTTTCAGCTTAGCTTCGATCCTCGACCTTGTCTTAATTTATAAAAATAAATAACTCAGAACATGCGAAAATATCTGCTGAAAAATACCATACACTTGGGAAGAGAAGAATCGCTGCCCATTAAGTGCTTGTAGAAGATTCCGGGTTCTACCGAATTTTCTAGTCGTGGTTACGATGTTACTTTCGTAGTAATAATTCTCTCGGTGTTCGACACAAGTAACATAGCGACTAAGACTGGAAAAGACAGTAAGACCTGGAATCCATCGATGTTGAACGACAATATTATTATTATTCTTTTTCCTACCCGTGTGCTCTTTGTTTTTAGATAAGATTTTTCTTACAATATCTACGCACTTTAAACCTATGATTTCCCGGATTCCCTCCGAATAAATCCATACGCTCCCGTTTGAAAAATCCCTGAAACTTTGCGCTCTTCGGCAGGCTGAATTTTGAAAGTGACCGGGGAGTGGACCGGAAAGACAACGTCGGACAGCTGAGCGCGGGGAACTAGTCCTATCGTACCGCGGCTAACAGAACGGCCTTAGCACACATCAAGATGAGCCCGGAAGAGCATTGAACTGTAAGGACGACAGGGTTTATCTGAAAATAAGGTTACGCCCTTACGCCAGGAAGAAGACGCAATAACTCCCGGAGTCCGCGTTCCACGTTCCGGCAAAAAGATGCAGTTCCGTATACACTCTGGACTCCGTACACTCCGCAGACCGTAGACCTGTTATTAATGAATAATCAGAATAATTCAAAGCATAACTACCAACGACAAGTCACTCTTAACTCACCCCCTCCCGCCCTTGTCCTCTTGTCCGCCACAACTGTCACATCCCCCTCCCTCCCCGTCCCTTTCATCCTCCTTCAGCCCTGAATTATTTCTGAGGAACATTTCCCTTCCTTAGCTTGCCTGCGTTCTGAGCTAAGGCAAAACGGGTTCAAAGAGCTGAAAACCAAAAAAAAAATGTGCGAATGCAAACACGTAATCCGAGCTAATGTCGATTCGGTGTATAAAAAACAGGTGGAAGTTACCTGGATCTGCAGAGAGAAAATTGAACACTATGCCTGGCTATGTATATCAATAGATTTAGTATCTATCTTGGGACTATTTCTACATTCGGTAAAATCATGTAAGGTACTCTTTTGACACTCATAGGAGTGTCTCTACACGATAGTTAAAAAATTGAAGACATTTATGATCGCACTGGAAAAAAAAGACATTGGATCTAGAGTCCAGACTCTTGAAAACATTGACTAGAAAAAATACTCTTGATTGAATCAGATTTTTGCTTGGATCAAAAGGAAATCCGCTCAAATTAAGAGGCTTGGTTCTTGATTTAAGCAAAAATCCGATTGAATCAAGAGTATTTTTTCTTGTCGATGTTTTTAAGTGTCTGGACTCTAGATCCAATGTGTTTTTTTTCCCAGTGCGGTTACACATCTCGCATGTTGTCCCAATGAAAAGTTGTACTTATATTTTCAAAGCGTGCAGCCAATATCACCATTTATTTACTTTTCGAACATTTTTTCCTACTCGTGTTATCGAGGAGCAGAGCCGCATTAACAGGAGCCAGCTGTTTGCGTCTATTAATTTTTGACTCATTACTCACCATGCGAGAGGCGAGACCCTCTATAACACACGAGTTCTCTCTCTAAATATGAGTTCCATGCTTACAGCAGAACTAATGAACAGGATCGAATATTTCGTCCACCCTCTAAAGTTACGTGACTGTGGTGCACCTTTTTGGATTGTAAATGCAGCGGTGAGCACTGAGCACTTAGATTTTATTTTAACTTTTGTTAATAAAGAGGGTATATCTTCCGAACATCTGGTGTTGCGCTTTGAAAAGCTATCATTCGTGCGTTCTATCCAGGAATTTTTGAGGATTTACGATCACATTTTCTCTGAGTTACCGTGTCAACTTCGCTTCGCTGGCATAGCAGAGGCTTTTAACTGTTCTTTTTTCATCATTTCTCCTTCTTGTGGTGTTTCATGTAACATTTTTTGAATTCGAAATGAGTTGCAGAGCCAACCCTGCGGAAACCAGTTGAAATATGTTCCTTCCTTTTCATATAAGTAGCGTGCCTATGAAATATGCAATTAAGTAGGAAAATTTGACCGATTTATGCAGAAAAAAACTAACGGCCAGACTTCTATTTCGGGCAAAACATTGCACTTTCTGTGCGGCTCTTAACTTTGAAACGCACGTGGGAGAGAGAGGCTTTGAATGTTGACATCTTAAGTCAAAGCCGGCTACTCATTCCTGTTCCTGTTCGAGTCTGGAAAGGAAAATATGTCTATGCGCACAGATGAAAACAATTATTAAAAACAGAGAAAGCGTGAAAAAGTGGTCATCTTTAGGTCGTTCCTTACAATTTGTACAAGATCATTTTTTAATTAAAGCAGATTTCCTCACGATCAAATATCACAATTCGACTTCAAAGCCCTCTCTTTATGTAAACTTTCAACTTTAACCCCTTTTTATTCCAAGAACGAAGCTCAGTTGTGAGTCAAACACCTGTTCTCTCGTCCTGTGAGAGGAGGTTCTCCATCAGCACCAACCAAGCCGGAGTTCTCGATATCTTTGCTTATAAAATTGTTAAAGACTCCAGTAATCAAGCGTAAACAAGATGTTCATCGGATAAACCGAAAGTGAAGCATAATTCCTCTAGTATGAGGCGGGAATCCTGATGTATTCACCATTGAAAACAAATAAGCCATAAATTAGCCGTATCCATCCATGTATAAAAAACCGATGTTCCTCGTGCCTTATAAATCACGCCGTGATTGGGGGGACATTTCGTCGCTCCTCTGACTTAAGGGCGTATCTCGATTTCGACATGAGTCTGGGAATGCATGGAGTTACATGGAGAACAGGGCTCACGTTCAAATTGAGATGCGCCCTTACGTCCGGGGAGCGACGATTTCCTCGTGCTCCTTCCTCGAAACGTATTGACGTATCCGACATACTGACTCTCAAAATAGACCTATTAGCTCAATTTTTTCCTTCGGGTCGCTATAGTGATCAATGTGAAACTTCGTACCCTCTCGAAGTTGGCAGATCAAAATAGAGCTTTTTGTCGAAAGTCATACCCAGTCAGTCCGCAATATTTTAAAAACATTTTAAAAATATTTTCATTATTGCTATTAAAATATCCTCTGAAAAATATTGATACAACTTTTTTAAAATAGTTTTAAAAAATATTTTTGAAAAAGTTTTAAATAACATTGCTAAAAAATTTTGAAAATAATTGGAAAATACTTTTAAAAAATAAGTTACATAGCAATATTGTAAAAATATTTAATGTAATTATTTATAAAATGAAAGCATCAAAATATTTTTATAATATTGTCACGTAAATAATTTTTAAAAAATATTTTCCAACTATTTTCAAAAATATTTCAAAACTTTTTAAAGTAATATTTTGAAAATATTTTTTCGAAAATATTTTGAAAATAATTCAAAAATATTGTCTGTAAACATTTTTAAAATATTAATAAAAAAGTTTTGAAAATATGTTTAAAGTATTTTTTAAAAAATATTTACAAACAATATTTTTGAATTATTTAAAAAATATTTTTTAAAAATATTTTCAAGTCCTTATTTTCAGTTATTATGAGGTGTTATTTACATTAGTGGAAATTTAATGTAAGTACCTATTACGTGAGATCGAAAAAACAAATAACAGGAACGAGCCGCGCACTGACGCAACGCATGCTACAACAGGCGTGATTTTAACCCAGCCCACCATGAGCTCTCTGTGGCTCAGTGGCTAGAGTACTCGGCTACCAAACCCGCGGCCCAGGTTCCAGTCCGCACGAGGGCGTCCGGGTGTTTTACGCTCCTAAACGTCGCAGGAATTCAGGTAAGTGGTTTAAAGTGTTCAGTACTTGTGTATTTCATGTTTCAAATGTAATAAAATTGCAGTACTATGAAAATGACGAAATTTGCCTGTACTTCCACATCTACTTGACAGAGCGCGCTGAGTATACAGAAGGAAATAGTGTCAATAACCATTGATAGAGCGCGCATGGTATACAAATAGGTAAACATTCCGGTAAAATATTTTCGATAAAATATTTTGAAAATATTTTTAAAATTTTCCTTGAAAATATTTTTAAAATTTTCCTTGGAAATATTTTTAAAATATGTACATGGAGTTAACATGTAGCAATTTTGAAAATATTTTGACAATGTTTTAAAAATAATTACAAAATAATGTCAAAAATGTTTTAAAAATGTTTTTAAAATATTGCGGTGCTGACTGGGATAGCTTCCTATTATGAACTCAATGGGTCCTTCAAAAAATACAATTACTTTGGAATCTTGTGTCGCTCTTAGAAAGTTATTCCCCGGCCCTACACTCAGACTTTGGTCGTGAATTATTTTAAGACAAATAAAACATCCATGGTCAAAATTATACGCATAGGTGATGGCAAGCTTACCGATTTCCTCGAGGATGATATTTGTATAACTCCAAGTAGTCTGGTCTCCAGTACGGTGAAAGTTTATTAGTAATTTCTTTCAGCTCAGCATTTAAGAGGCTTGTATTAATACCTAAGGATGTTTGATATTGAAAAACTCATACGAAAAATCTTATGGAGGGCATTAGTAAGAAATCTTTATTTGTGTAATTCATGCATTTATAATCATTATCAGTATAACAGTCAGTGCGTCGAAATCGTTACAAGTCGCAAAAATATCAATCTATATTTTTTGCGGAAGGATTACTTTACACCATACACGTCAATAGTTTTAACTTAAAATGAATATCTGAAGCTAAAATAACTGCGTAAATAATTGTGCTTCAGCAGTTTTGAAAAGATCCCATCCATTCGTTTGTTGATTATTGTAATAAGATGATTACATTTTCTAGGTTTCATATTTATTCCATTCGTGTTTAAATAATTTTTTTCCATTTTTGCAGGTAAGATGAAAGCGGTTTGCTTTCTCGTGGTCTCCTTCATGGCATTTGTACAATGTAAGTACTCTTTATTTTTATACTAGCAGTCAACCCGCGCTTCGCGCGGCGATATTGCGGGAAACAAATCGGAATATCTCATAATATATGCGTATAACTTTTAATTCACTGATTTTATTTGGATCGCTGGAAAATTAATGCATACTTCTATAATTTAGGACTGAGTCAGGGAAATATGAGGTTCGGTAAATAGTAACCATCCCTAGTACCGTGTGACACTATTGTTAACGAAAAGTTTTTGTAACTTGTCAAAGAGGTTTTTGAATGATCTTCGAATAACTTTTGATGAGCTAGATGTAATGGTTGTATCGCAGCTTTGCACTTCTGTTCGATATTGTCAAGAACCATCTGAATTTTAAAAAAGTGTCCGCTTGTTGGATACCCAACATGCTCATTCATGCATACAAGTAGAAGCGCCTGAAAGCTTTAGCAGACATTTTGGAGATGAACCAAGAATTAGATGAAGAATTTATGACTTAAATCACGGCACCTTAATTACGGGATGACCTTAATTACGGCAACTATGTATTGTCCATGAGATGCAGATGGACCCANACCCGTCGAACGGCTAAGTTCGCACCGATTCCGACCGGTGGGAGCGGGGAGGCGAGCGTGATGGATCAATGTATGATCAATGTATTTCCCTTTTATTAGTTAGATAATGGTGGTTGGGTTTGATTAGTGTCCCACTCGCCGCAGTTTAAATGATTTAAATTGTACCTCAAAAAGACTTTCCCTCATTATAAATTTTCGTACGAGACGTTTCTGCCCATAATCCAGTCATTTTTTTAATAAATAAGAAGTATCCCTTTTTTAACCGTGAGAAAGTGAAACTCGATTAGTAAAAGGTTGAAACTACGAGTCACTGGTTATCTGAAGAAACGGTAAAAGTTACATGGTTGCTTTAGTTTTTCAATCGGAAAGCTCTAAATCTATTACAGAATTGAAAATACCCCCTGAGGCAAAAAATTCAGTCAGCTGAACCTCATACTCAGTCCAAATGACCCGCTAAAACTTTTTTCGAAAGTTTTGAAAGAAGTCTAGTTTTGAAAGAAGTCACGTGTCATGTAAGCTGCCCAGTTTAGTTTCAGATACGGCGATTTTTGGTATTTATAAGCGTATAAAGCTATGTCACGTGGACAAGCTCTTTCGTGGGACCTTATGCTCTGAATTTAGCTCACAAAATCAAGGCTGTTTTCTCACTCCTCTTCCCTTTATGTCGGTGGCGACAACTTGCCAACTTTTCCCCGAAGAGCCGATCCCCTCGGTACGGGCGAGAACTGATGAATCGGTAGGTGTCCCAAAAAAAGTTGGCGGTCGGAACCCTTCTGAAATGTCTCCCTCGAAATGTGATTAAGGTCAGTAACTTATTTACCTAAATAAATCGCTTTTAGGAAGAGGGGATTACTTGTAGGCTCGGCTCAATCAATAACTGTCAACTCCTTCGTAGCGGTGCCTCGGGAGTTTTTTCTCACTTTAAATTTCATTGTCCTTTTAAGGAAAAATCTAGTGAGGTACATTTTCATTAAATTGAGAATTATTTAGAGAAAAGTATCACTTATGATACTTTCGCTCGGCAGGTCAGCTGAACTCACCCAATCACTCACTTTATATCGAGGAAAAAGGTAGATAAAAAAAGTCAAACTAGAGCTGAATTTTTCAGATTCAAGAGATTCGGTAGATTTCGCTCGGGGGGTTGGGTACGTTCTACGCTCATTGAAGCTCGAAGAATTCTCTTGAGTTTTACGTTTATCGGCTGCACTCAATGGGTCAGTTGCGCTAGTGACACAATCGTGTATTGATGTTCGATTCTTGTAGATTAGTTTAAATAAGATTTTTCCAAACAGCAACTTTCTACGCTGAAAATTAATCGAGATATCGCGCTTTGAAACGTCGAGTTTCTGACGTCCTCCGCCGCGGTAGAGACACCCTTGGTTTCTTCCACCTTGCTTTCATCCGACATTCACGTTGGGTGGCCAGTGCAATAATGTATGTATGTTAATTTGACTGATGAAAGCAAGATGGAAGAAACCAAGAGTGTCACTACCGCGATGGATGACGTCAAAAACCCGACTTTTCAAAGAGAGATTTCTCGTTTAAGATTGAATGTATAGATAGTTGCTGTATGGACAAATCTTATTATTTTTAGCGAATCAAAAAGAATTCAGCATGAAGATACAATTCCACGATCAGCGCGACTGACTCATTCCGATATACCCAGATTTCCACACACATCGGTTTTTTTTTCTTCCCTCCTTCCTCCGGAGTCTTTTAATTCCTCACCCTTCAGCTGAAACGCTCGGGAGCCAGGTTGTAAAGTTCGCCTTTTCCGGTGGAAAATGAAGAAAAATACGTCCTAAAAAGTCCGAAAAAATGGGGGCCACGCCGGAGCGGGGTCGGGAGGTCGTAACCCTCGGTGAAATGTGAGAGCGATTCGGTTCCTCTCTCCAGTTGCCAGAGCGAATCACCGAATCTCACGATCCAACACGGTCGTCCCGCACTCCCGGCCGAGCCAAGGAAAAACGGCGTACGGACATTCAAGAGTTGCCAAATTTCCTCTCAGAAAACAGTTATTTTTGAAGAATGTCATAAATATTTCTCCCTGAAATTTTCAGAAACATTAGGTGAGATTGCCAACTAATTTATCCGAAAAATTGGAGGACAAATACTCACAAATTTTCCCGAAAATTCGAGATTTAACGAAGGAAATTTGGCGACGCCTAAAGGTTCATACGGCGTTTTTCCTTAGCCCGGCAGCGAACTCCCGTCCCGGTCGTCATATTTCCACCCTCTACGGCAACCGGCAACACATCCCTCCCCGAAAGTGGATGATGAGGGACTCGCAGGGTCGCGGGGCACTTTAACGCCTCGCCCTCGGAACGATTAGAAGTGATTAGGAAGTAAGCTATGAACTGTCTGCCCCAGGCGGAGCGCGGTGGCGCGGGGGGGGGGAGGGGCGAATCCGAAAAAGTTTTGATATCGTTAAGTAGTCTCATCCGCGGGTAACGATTTCCCGATCCCCCGCCCTCCGTCGAAGGGCATGCCCCTCGGAGGTGAAAAGCCTCCCTAATAAAACTTAAGATTGTTATGGTCCACAAAACTGGAGGAACCTCATCCTCGTACCTCCCGCTTTTAATGGCACCGGTATCTCATAAATGCCTGAAAGATTGTTCCTCATCCTGGACGCTCCTCTTGTTTTCATACGCATCAAATCCCCCTTAAGACGGAGTCTTATATGTCTTTATTACTTCGGACCGTTCCGTTTTATATCTTATTTTTTTACCTTAGGGAAATATATCTAACTTGGTGCCTCCCTCTTCCGTGTTCTGCTGGAGTTTTCTCGGAGCACCCACCAATCGAAAGTCAATATTTTATAATTGGACTTTTTTCACATATTCTCTGAAATTTGAATATTACATAAACACAAATCCTATGTCAGTATGACATCTTGCACTGCGAAAAAACTTCGGTCATATGAACCAAATGCACGATGTTCCATATCGGCCTTATTGTTCGTTTCATGGAACCGCTCGCTCGGTTCCGGGAACCGTATACTTGGTTCGTGCAACCAAGCATGCAAACCGAACAAAACCAACGAAAACACTCGGTCGCATGAACCGAACAATACGGTTCCCAGAACCGAGAAAGCGGTCGCGTGAACCGAATAATATGGACGATATTGAACATCGTACATTCAGTTCATAATATGACCGAACTTTTATCCTCGATGTAAGCGCCAAGTACCTCGTCCGTAATTTTAATTGATCGTGAGAGGACGGCTTTTAAATAATCCAAACCGGCGACCTATCAACAAGGAACAAAAACGAATACGAAAAATAAACCCCGGGCCCATCCACTATTCGCAGATGAGATCCCGTTCATTTCCTTGTCGAAGTTTAAATGCTCATGTAGTCACACGGGAGCTGTCAATGGACCACTAGACAAGGCACGAATTTCAGCATTCTGATACATGCCTCGTAACCAAAATTTCACGTAGAACACGATGCGCACAACAAGAATTAAAGCAATTAACTCCTTACGAAGATATTTAATGATTCTTGATGCGTGAATTCAAACCTCCCGCTTATGAAAACTCAATGCTCTACGCGATTCACATCGCGCGCTAAACGTTATCATGACAGTCGCTGCGATATAAAAATCTGGCAACCTCAATCTTGACGCTTTGGCTCAGCTACAGCAAATTGATAATAGTTTGAGCAACACATGGTGGGAAATGAACATTGCTCGATTGAGAAGCTTGCTGAAAACGTTGTAGTGCGCGATTTGACTTACGTAGAGCTTTGAGTTTCTTGTGAGCGGGCAGTTCAAATTCCTCGTAACCAATGTGAAATAAAAACGTTAATTTCTTCGTTAGGAGTTGGTTTAAATAATTTTCGTTGTGCGAATCGTGCTCTACGTGAAATTCTGACTAGGAATCATGTATCAGAATGCTTAAATTCGTACCTTGTCTGGTGGTCCATTGACCGTGTGAGGGCGGCTTTTAAGTAATCTAAAACGGCGACATATCAACCAAGAAAAAAAAATGAGTACGAAAAATAAACCCCGCGCCCATCCACTTATTCGCAAATGAGATTCGGTTAATCACCTTATCGAAGTTTAAATGCTTATGTTTAGTCACACTGGAGCTGTCAATTTTTTCTCAAAGAGGCACAACCCTAGAAGTTTCGCGGCCGCGAAAGCCAATCATCAAAGAGTGCCTACATCGCGAACTTCCGATCGTAGCAACTACAGATCCCACTAGGCAACACCCACGCGAAATAGTAAATCAAGTTACGTGTCGAAGCTCCCCCTCCTGGATGCCGCTCAGCGCCTCGCTAATATGAATACCTGAGGGACAAACCCCCTTCCTCCCTCGTCCCGAAGGGGGAAGGGAGCCGGATCGGAACTTGAGTCGCGGGGGTGGCTTTGGTCAAGGCGCCCCGCTTTTCGGCCGACGGGAGAGGAATATTTTCCGAGGTGAGGAAGGAGGAATTAAGTTT